AGCTCTCCGCAGCACTGCGTTGGAGTGTGTTGTCGCCAGAATGAGATCCCGATGTGTGAAGGACAGAGTGTAAAGGCTTGGCTTTTAAAATTTACCGTTTCCTAGAAGTCTATTCTGAGAACTCGCAGCACCGGCGGCTCTGACGTCACGCCGGCCGCACCAACTCCCACTCCGCTCCAACCGCCGCCGGTTGTTTCGCTTCGCGGCAGGGCTACAGCTCCTCTATTAGCGCTCCTTCGACGGACAAACCGGGTTCGCACATATATGTGTGTGGGGTTTTTTGTGTTTCGGTTAATTCCCAGGACAACCGCCCCGAACCGTGCTGTTTTTCTCTGGCATCTCTCCCCTCGTTTCACCCGGCGGCTCCCCGCCTTCGCTGAACCTGCGCTCCGCTCCCAGGAACCGCGCGGCAGCTTCTGCCTAGTCGCTTTCCAGGAATAATTGCAGAGCTTGACTCCGCCCCGCCGGGCGGCCCTGACAGAGGCTTCATTCTGGGAATTCACCGCCTCGACATTAAAGATAATAGGAATGCTCACTGGCTATTTCCAGTAATATAGATTTCCCTCGATCCTGGTGGAAAAACACGGCGAGAGGTTTTCTAGGAGCTTTAGAGTAATTACGCTCGAGAAAACAAGTTGTTATTGTGACAATAAACTAAAAAATATATATAAACCGGGTTAAGACTGCCGTAGAGACAGAGAAAAGCTGATTGTGCTTCAGTTTGTGACTTCTGATAATCTTCACTTTTATTGCTCTTTTGTGTCTTGTTTGCACACATGCAGCCCTAGATTAAACTATAGTTCATTTGCAGTTACATTTCTGCTTATTTGATCTCTCCTGGTATTTATTTTCCCGGGAATGTATCTAAGAGATCCCTGCATCGGCCTGCAGCTTACACTCCAATGCATGTAGGTGTTGATATCTTGTTTCATTTACGAGAATATGGCCAAATAAGGGCTGTTAAGGATTATTTCTGACGCTGGGTTTTTGCGTATTGTTGTAAAATCTGTGGCATATCCTGTCCGGCTTTTTAAAATATTTATTCCAATAATACTAAGAGCCATCGCTCAGACATATGTGGTAGTTTGGAAGCAGAGTAATATGTGAAATATGCTGCGTCATAATCATAACCATACCCAGGAGAGCGCGCTGATCCTGAATAGCGTCTTCTCAGAAATCCTGAAATGAGCTTCTTTCTAAGAAGTTCTGTGGACTTTATCTGTCTCTGCTGGGTGAGGTTGAACAAATACCTTTTGAGGCCTTAGGCAAAAAAACACATCTACATTTTTCAAATATGATTGCAGTAGCATAATTTTTTTTATGCTACTGCAATCATATTTTACATACGTATCATGGAAACAGAAAGTCTACAGATGTAATCATTGCTATAGTAAAAAGAAACCAGCAGCAGGCAGGTTAAGGCAGTCACATGCAGTTCATTAAAGCACACAGACACAAGAAACTAGATTTAAAGAAATTACATTCCTCATAAATCACTTTGTTTGAACGCCTGTTTATAAATGGTCTGTAATTTATAGCAATCCCCTTCTGCATGATAAAAACAGGCAGGTTTGTTAGACAGACGTTCGAAAAGCAGTCATTCCTTCTGTTGCTTTTCTCTCTCTCTTTTTTTTTTTAAATTGCAGCAGATAATTTCATAAGTTTGTGTGAGCAGGTTTGAGAAGGTCATAACACGGTGCTAAAATGTAAGAGGGAACAGCTGTGTGTGTGTGTGTGTGTGTGTGTGTGTGTGTGTGTGTGTGTGTGTGTGTGTGTGTGGTTTTATGAAGCAGGCAAACAGTTTTAGTGAAAATGTCAAGATGAAGAAGTGCAGATGTTCTAATTGAGATTCTTTTTTCTTTTTTAATTGCAGTGTAATTTTATAGTTGTTGCTTTTGAAAAGGCCACTGCAGTCACGGCACAAGTTTCTAGAAAGCCGGAAGCATGAAGATAAAGAGAAAGGCTGTGTGTGTGCGAGAGAGAGTGCGTGCGTGCGCGCGCGCGCGCGAGCTTCCTGTGTACGTGGAGTGCAGTTATTTTCTTGATCCGTGGACTAATTGTTTTTTTCAGTGTTAAAATGCCGTTGTTGGGGAGGGGGTTGTGCGTGTGCAAAAATTCCTGTTACTACCGTGGAAGACAAAAGAAATCTCAAGTAAAGAAACATCTGAAAGTCTAAAAACAGAAAATGTGGTTTTAGCTTTAAAGAACTTAAAATTACACTTCAGCTGTCAAAATACTTGCTAAATCATGTTCTAACCATCAACATCCGCTTTAGTGTAGACTTGAGGGCAGCATTTGTGGATTGCACTTCCCCATTTACTTGCACTTTTGCGCTCATTAATGCCGAGACACTAGTGCGCATAGTTTATGTGTTTGCCTGTTTTTGGATTAAGTCCTAAAAGAAAAAGCAGAAGGGATTCATACGTCTTTTTATGCTTCTCTTCAGTTGCACTACACTAAGTTGATAATAAAATATTTCAAAGTTACAGTCCTCTTTATCTTCAAGCTTCTCGAAGTCAGATGGGTTCACGTGTTGTTTCGGCCTATCCGAGAATATTATTGCACATCTTCTGTAACACCGCACCTACGCCTACTAAAAATCTCTTTTATTTGTTTATTTTAAACAGAAATTACTTATTTTCTTTCCAATGTTTTTTAAAAAATAAAGACAAAACACATGCATGTGTTTCTTAATGCCCCAGCCTTTGTTTGGCACGTTTGTCATATATTACCCTTTTTATACTGCAATAAAATTAATAGTCTGCCAGTAAGCATCAATAAATCTGATAGTAGGGCTACACTGCCTAATAAATCAGCTCTGTGTACTCGTTTTCTGTGCTGTGCAGTATTGCCATAAATTTGCATTGCCACCTGTTCACAAATGTATTCATTTTAAGAATTTCCAGCTGTAAATTTCCAGCTGTAAATCCAGCTGTAAATTTTCACATTCCAGGACAAACATGCTTATCAGCAATAGCTCCAAAACCAACGCCCTAGCCAATCGCATATGTGCGTATGGAATATAATTTTCCTGTTTGAGCAAAGCTCAGGTCCTTAATATGAAGTAATATCAGGCCATAAAAATGTTATCTGACTACACACATTGTCACAATGCACAAGCACTGAAATGTGCTTGATGTGGAAAATATCCCAGTGACCTTTATAGTATCCTATCCTCATGAAACCCCAGCTCTGGTTTGGTTTGCATTTTCAATATATCCCAGCTATTTGGGTTATAAAAAAAGAAAAAAACCTAAGCATCATTATTTTTGAAAGTATGTCCTCGTAATTAAGTCAGCACCATTTAACTAAGTTTAAAAGGCTTTATTGAGCAGAATGAAGTGTAAGGTGCGAAAAGCCTGCATTTAATGCCTCCATATGACGATGAAGGATCTCAGGAGCATACATGACTCATGCAGGTGTGTAAAAGCCAGATTTTTCAGTGTAGTTTGTTAAAGTTGAGCTCCTTTTTCTTCCACATTCAGTTCCATTAAACATGATTGTCTAGTCTTGCATTCTGAAAAGAAAACGGATAACTTCCCTCATTTCTTAAATTTTCACAGTTATTGATTGATTTATTCATCGCATAATCCTGTCAGCTCTAATTGTAAAACATCTTTTCACAAAAAACATAAAACTTCACAAGTTCTTTACATGTTTTTTTGGTGAAAATCTTTATTTTTAAAAGAACTACGACTGCCACGTAAGTGCAATCAAATAACAGCACTGTATTCCCCCTCTGGGATGTGGTGGGCTAAAAGTTGAAATACCTAAACTTTGTACTGCAGTCCATTGTTTGAGTAAATGTACTTGATTATACTTCCACCACTAGAAAACGCGCCGCATACCCAGAACTTGCAATGATTTAGTAGTTGAGAGATGTCTCGGAAACAATGAATAACTGTTGTCCTGCGCTCAACTGAAGAAAAGAAGGCTCAAAAGGATTCTGAGAAAAGCTTTGCCTGGAATCAGCAACATAAATTCATCCGTGCTGCGTTGGGAGAAAAAAAAACCTTGAGCATCCACATTTGTTCAGAGAAACAGTCCTGAAAAGAACTGCTGGCAGGCACTGACTAGAGAAATTGTTTGCTTTTTTTTTTAACTGTTTGATTTAGTAGATTTAACTGACCAAAGCTGTGGCATTATTTTTGTGGATTTTTCTTTCTTTCTCCAAATAAATGTGATAATGTGTTACACTGGAGAAAACACAAGGCTGGCTTCATTAAAACTAAATCATGTCCATGACTATGCTGATGCAATGTTTAAAAGACATTAGCAGTGCTTTGGTGTAGGTAAGTTGGATGGCAGTGAGAGGTTGGTCGGTCAGTCCGCCCACTGCTTCAATCCAGGCTGAAGAACCTTAACGTCTGCTGGACTGTTTCCTCCTGCGACACCACGACGCTGGCTTTTGGGAATTTGTCTAAAATGCGTGAACAGTTTGGAGTGCGGCAAGTCAGCGTTCCTTTAAGTATCTTTAGTCTCAAAGTTTTTTTATTGCTACAAAAACTAATGACATTTTCCTCAGCTGTAGTTAATTATTTGCAAGATTGCCCTAAATAAGCATTACACACACGCACCTGTTAAACAGCAGCACCCTTTGCTTGTAAGTCATGCTGATGCTCATAGTAGTGAAAGTATGATCAAAGGCACTACATCTACTCATTAGGGTAAATTCTGTTACTAGAAAACTTGACCTATATTAGAATAGCCATTCCACTCAGGAGTAACAATGTAACAATATAAACAATGTAGTAAATGGGATAAAGTAACATTGTGTTTTGTGGAATCGTGTGGAAGACACAGCGGAAGAGGATTATGAAGAAACTGTTCACGGCGGGCCTTGGATGCAGATTTGTATGGTATGAATCCACAGGCCAGCGCTCAGGCTGAACTGATTTTTATCTAGTTAACGCGACACAGTGAGGTCTTTCAAAAGCCAGAGCTTGACTTCTCTTCAATGAAAAGTGCTGAGTGGAAATACCCTGAAGTGTAAACAATAGCACAGTATAAACAAAATTTTATTTTGAATTTCTTTTCATGTCACTTTTTTTTTCTCTTTTTAATTATGACTGTTCTTACAAACACGGTTGATACAAAACTTGTACTGGAGGCAAGATGACGTCTGAAACATTTCCCCATGCATTTCTAATTCAGTCCTTTTGTATCATATTGTAAACGGCAGAGTTATTTCATATTATTCAAGAACAGATTTGCTTTAAAAATAAAAATAAAATCACTATCTATCTTTCTGAATGCTCTTTGTCTGTAGTAAACTGATCCAGAGAGGCACAGTCAAGATAATTCATCAGAACATTTCCACTAAAAACAAATTTTCTGTGTATCACAATTGTTTCAACGCACAGACGGTAGAGGAAAGGCATCACTGTGTCCTAATGAGGTGTTAATGGGTCTGGAGGAAGAGAGGGGAAGTCCAGGATCTGCAGACAGAACTAGCTGTCCTGCACGGCCTCTTCTGTCCCCTTAATAAGCCGCTTGTGTCCCCTTTTTCCTGCAGGGCCTCGGGGCTTAGCAAAAGCCTGTTTGTGGGTGTGCTGCTTAGGATGGACCTCATCGTACAGAAAGTCGGCCGTCAGTTCATCTCCATCGTCGATCTCCAACTGCAAAAAATAGCCCCACCCCCCAAAAACGGGCTGTATTCAGAAGTTCATTAAAGATATTTCAGCTTGAAGTCTTAGAAATTCCATCAATACTGTAGTCAGGACTTCAGAGGCCCCAGAGGTGGTAAAGTCTTGTCATCTTAAAGAAAATTACTGCTTCAGTATACTTTATTTTTTAACAGTTATGAGATAATTCAGCTGAATAAATCCTAAATCCTGCATGTATGTGTACCAGTAAGATTTAAAATGAAGTAAACACGCTGCATCTAAAACCACCAGACTCAAAAACAATGATCACGATGACATGATCTTAGCAGTAGCTACAACCCATTATGAAACAATGTTATCTAATATACCAACCCACCAGACCCATATCTATCCATCTGTTATACCTTTTTAGCGATTTCCAAATGGTAATCTTTCTCCACTTCCTCTAATAGTCTGCTCTTGCAGCTGGAGTACAGCATCCGCTCCTTAATGCTGCAGCTGTAGCCTGGCATGGAATATATGAACACTGGAGACAGGGAAACATTATGAGAGTTAATAAATACACATTTAAGATTCATTAAAGTGTATAGCCTCCACAAATAGAATCGGTATTTGGTCGCACTGCTCACAGTCTTTGTACACAGTGTAGCTTTGTTTTAAATCGTAATATCAAAAGCTTTCAATAAATATCCACAATAAATGTGGTGTCAGTGCCAGTGAGTGTACAGCTGTCTTTCCACAGAAACAAAATGCAGGAGGATTATCAGAGTGCAAGGATCAGTATCATACCGACAGATTCCAGGTAGTCCCCTTCATGGGAGTGTTTGTAAAGGAAGAAGTGGTATCTGGGAGTGTCTCTGGGAACTCTGCAGGGCAAATCTCGAGTTTCTGTCGGGTTAGAGTGGACCAGCTCAATTGTCTCCTTCTCTACATCCAGCCTCTGAAACACAGCGAACAAATGCACGCTAAAAGACCACTCCTCATATTAGTTTTTAAGGAACTCTGAAATATGAGCTAAAGTTGGCTCACCAGCTGCACGTAGTTGATGCGTTTTTGGGCGAGCTGCTGTAGGGCTCTTTTGGCTGCATCCTGTAAGGGAAATGCGAGGCCCTGAAGAGTCTGGTGCTTACTCTCAACGCTGATCTCTGTCGTCACCTGCAGAGGGCAGCAAGCAGAGGGGCATCTGTGTTTTCAAGCTTCTGGAAAACAAAATTCTCAAAGTGTTCAATATGTTCAATAACAACACTTTCTGTGGCTGCAGGACTTTTGCAAAAAGGATAAGTTGGTATGACCACTGGATCACATTCATTCAGTATTACAGCAGAGTTCATCCACATACCTGTTTAACCCGGCCCTGAAAAGACAACCACAACAGTTATAAGTTCAATGTATGAAACAACCAGTCTGTAGCTCATGTTTCAGAAGAAGCAGCTCACATGCAAAGCTGTGTTGCAATAACGACAGTACGCCTGAAAGCTTGTTGACCTTTTACCTCTGTAATTTTGATCCTCTGGAGCTCCTGCTCAGCTAATGTGAGCGGGGCAGGAGCTGAGCAGGATGACACGTGGTGCTGGTAGCCCAGCAAGCAGATGTCCTCCTAGTGTTGAAAGCACAACAAGCAAGTCTTTTACAGGAAGCTGCCAAAACATGTCATCGGAGAGGTATAAATTTAGCTGGTCCTCACTTCGGTTGTGCCAAATAGCTCGTATTTGATGTGGCCACCGCCAAACTCCTTCTTCACTGTGGCCCGCGTGGCAGCATATAACATCTTTTGTTTCACCTGCAGCCGTCAGAGAGGGAAATGAATGTGCCAGCTTTAAAATCTGAAAGTGTGGAGTTTATGTTAAAGTGGTGGGCCCACATAAATAAGCAAGAATGATCACAGACAGTGCAGAGTTAGTTTAATGGAGATGAGGATCTATTCATTTATTGCTAGGATCTCCTAGCACTGAGATAGCCTTTCACAAATTAGGCATCTTTTTTTGTAAATAAAGTTTTTTAAAATTGTGTTTCACTTTATTAAACTTAGCTGTGTTTCATGTTTAATAAAGGCCTAATAGTATGCTTCAAATGTCTATATGGAATTATTCAGGTCATTGGGGTTCATTTTTAGAGGTGGCGGAATAGATCCAAATATCAACAGTATTGATACCAGTGCTGGTATTGATACTAGCATGATAGAATTGATGCATGGTATCGGATCAATATCAAAATTTAAGTTAAAAGGATGTTGTGACCTCTGCTTCAGTCTGTCACTACCCTCTACCCGGAGCAATACATCCTCTCATAAAAGCTCAGCAACTCTGTGTTCACGTGGCTTTTTTTTTTGGCACAGAATAAAGAAAACTGGTATTTCTTACTGGAGACTGGTCTGGAGACCACGAAATAAAGACCCACTCGTAGCCCAGTGCATTCTGGGAGTCTAGGCGGTACAGGATGTAGCAGGGCTCCTGGTCATCGAGGAGAGGAAGCAGAAAGCGATCATAATCCTGGTCCCAGCTCTTCTCTGGCTCTCTGTAGGCCCCCAGCACCAGCTGCTCTGAAAATCCGACCACTACTCATCACATACCTCAGCACGGCCTTCACACAGCACATTCAGACGCTGTAGTCCACACTCACAGTAAATTTACACGAAGGATTCTTGTTTGTGATTATAAAGCAAGAAGGTGAAGTTGACCTCACTTGTTGCTGGCTAATTATTCAGCAGCATGCTACAGCAGAAGGTGCCTCTCTATTTATAGTACATGAGAAACGTTACATCTGACCAAATGTGTACTCTTTCGCTACTTTCCAACATTTCTGAAACACAACTCATTTTCAGGTCTGTGTAACAATTGCTATAAAATTTCTTAGAGATGAATAGCTTCTTACATTTCCAATCACGTCTCTCTCATTTTCAAAGAGCTAGAGCGCTTTTTTTTTTTTATAAACAACTAAAGCATGTGAAGAAAGACAGAACTTAAACTGAAAAGATTAATGGTTTGGTCTGTAAAATTTCAGAAATGTGCTCTCTGAAGCCATCCACTATCATCAGAAAGAGAAAACCGTGAGAAACACGCTCATTATTTCCTTCCTAAGATGGTTAGAATGGTCATATTACAGAAAAGCAGCAATTTCCGATACAAAACTTGGATGTGGGAATAATGCGGACTAAATAACTTCATCCTATATAAAGCCACATGACTATTGTGATTCTGAGAGCCCCAACTGCTATGGAGAAAGAACGAGAAGAGCAACGGCGTGCTAAAAATATCTCTGGCTTCATTTCTGACTGACACAACGATAGCGGGTTAAATCTGTCCGTAGCAGTGACAAACACTCTGAAACGCACACATTAACCCAAAGTCTGATGTTTCTCAGGGGTGCAGGGGGATTTCCTGACTGTCTCTGGGGGCATGCTGCTATTCTGAGCTGTAAAGCATTCCAGCTCTGCACGCACATATTTTCCATCAGCCAGTCTCTCCCATCTCCCCAGATCCATATTAGTATAAAACTGCATTTAAACTATCCACTCGTAGGTGGAGGGCCTCGTCTTTTCTAGTCACTGGTTAGACTCCACCACTACTACAGAGGACACGACCGTGTGCCCTCCTGAGGCAGCAGTGATGAAATCAGCTTGAATGATCGTGTTTCTCTTTTTGACATTGGAACAAACACGAGAGGAGACCGGTGACATGGTTACTGCAGCAGTGTGCAACCGTGTCACGTCACTCCAAAATAGCACACGGAGTCATCCAAACGCTTTAGTCGGGAAGTAAAACAGGCCTGACGCCCTTCTGCTGAGTCTGTCCATCTGTGTCCTTCCAAATATTCAACGTGATAGGCACAGTCCACAAAGATAGCCCCCCCCCCCTGAAAAAAAAGGCCCAGAATGCATTCACCTTGAATCAAATTACAGCGTGGCATTGATCAGATACCAAAAACAAGGCGTAAACACATCATGAACATTTCTGTCTGCCTCCATAATCAGCCACCCGGACACCTATTGCCAAACTGACTGTTTCCACAAGCTGCTCAGCTGACACGCTGAGTGACTGCTGTCACACAACAGCTGCCAACAGTCTGCTTTTCCTAGACGTCAGACACGGAGTGTTGCAATTCCCAACTTTGTTTTTTGCTTTCATCCACAGATGACTTGAAGATCTGAGAAACCATCATCAGCTATGAAAAACCCAGAAGGTTGTTAGGAACACATTTACTGCCGATTTCAGGGTAATTCTAAAAGTCCTGCTCAAATGTTTTCAGGCTCGTCGACCCTCCTGGCCTCTAAGAAAAAAAAAGGGAGTCCTTTACAGGAAACAAAGTGTAGCTGTTCATATATGATCAGGGAGATAACTTATGATTAGTGGTCACAAACGGACGTCAATGATCTAGCCCTCTAGCAATAAGACAAATGATCAACTGCTTACATTTTTCTTTCCATGACTTTCTTCAACTAAAATCATCCTGTGCTTCATCTCAGTTTAGCTGGTTTTCAGACAAACCAGAGCAGCTAAAAGCATCACCTCAGGCTTCAGAATACTGCGATTTACATTTTTAAACATTAAATAGAACTAACAATTTGTTTATGAAAGAAGAAGAAATCTTAGTTGCGTCTGTAGCTCAGTTTCAAAGGAGACAGAAGAAGAGTTTTGGTGTGTTCAAAGAGACACAAAAACAAACACGATGCTTGGTTTAAAATGATAAAATGTCGGTCCTCTTGAGGTTTTTATTTTCGGCATCTCCATTCTACACTGTCCTTGGTCACTCACCGTCTTGGATGCGCACCTTGATGAGGCGCACTGTTCCACCTCTTGCCCTGGCCAAGAACTGCCTCAACTCTGGTGTCACCACAAGTGCAAGAAACATGGCGGGTCAGCTGTGTTTTTCTCCCGCCAGGGGCTGGCTGTAGGATGAAGACACAGAAGCAGGAGACAGAAGTGAAAGCTCCACAGGGCCAGGCCGAAATTATTCAAGTCCAACCAAAGTCCGGCGTGTACGCGTCCTTCGCTTGATCGATGAGTACGAGGACAGAGCTCCTGAAGAAGAGGATCACTGTGCGTCTGGGTTTGTTGAAAGTGTGCGACAGTATGAGAAGGGACATTGCTCAAGTAACTAGGACAGTATCATGTGCACAGAGAGAGAGAGAACCTGATCACCTCTCCTAAATTTAGCTCCCACTGAGTAGCTACGGCCTGTGAACAGCCCACCACACACCAAGACCAAGCAGTGGAGCAAGAGAGCATGACCTCCAGACCTGATTACCAACTTCTGAATGACTGAAGAAGTTATCTTTACAAAGAAAAAGGTAAATATTTACTGCTGCGGGCAAATTATCGGTCACAACGCAGGACTGTGTAGGATGCTGTTGTTTTACCATTAACACATGTGGGACTGAACCATACCAATGCTATACCTATTAGTAGAATTTAACACAAAAACAACAAAATATTATAAACAATTTGAGTTACGGTGTGAAAAACTGCCCATTAATGTCTCAGATTGTGAAAGATGTTTTTGTAGCTCTAAATACCTGGTCACGCCAACAGCACTCTCCTAGTCTGAGAAACATATTTTAAATCTGACAAGTCGAGGCTAAAAATATCTCCAGCTGTTTGTGCTACATCACGTTACACCTGAAAGTCAATCTCAATTCAAAGTTGAAACAAAAATAAAAACCCAGCCCCGCACTAGCTCAAATTCTGTCAGTACGGTGTGCAAACATCATAAAACACCTCATAAAATATATTGTGATTGAAAACGATCAAATTCAACTAATTTTCCTTGTGTCTATTTGAACTGTCCTTCTGGACAAACACGCCAAAGAAAACCCTCGTTAATTGAGTTTAAAGTCATACTTTTGTAAATATATATCTTAATACACTCATCCAGCCATGACTGGTACACCTGCTCAAATGATCATTTACAAAACTTTCTAATGAGCCAGTCAATGCATTTAGGCACATAGACTTGGTGAGGACGACCTGATGCAGATTACAGTGAGCATCAGAATGCATAAGAAACGTGATTTTAAGAGACTGATTGTAGTTTTGTTGTTGTTGGTGGCAGACAGGCTGGTTTTCCCACACAGCCATCTCTAATACAAAACAAACAAAAACGACAATAGGCCTCATAGATACTTGAGGTGAAGGACCAGAATGATTTCAGCTGGCAGGACGGCCAACAGTAACTCAATACAACCAAGGTATGCAGAAGAGCATGTCTGAACACATCACCTTCAAACCTTGAAGCAGATGGCCTACAGCCATCTGTGTAAAGACTACGAAATGTTTCCTGGTGCTTAAGGCTCCTGGTAGTGCCCCTCCACCACAGCCCGATTAAGTATTGCTGCTACACAATGCCAACCCCTTTGTGACCACATCTTATGATAGCTGCCTCCATGATTATAACACACCGTGTCACAAAGCTCAGATCATCTCAAACTGGTTTAAACTGGCCTCCACACCTTTAGGATGTGGTGCAGACAAATGTGCTCCAACTGTGTGACGCCGTCTTTGTAATATGAACCCAAATCTCTACTGATACTGTTTTCAGCACCTTGTTGAATTGATGCAATAAAGAGTTAAGGTTGCTCTGAAGGCAATAAGGGGCTCCAACCTGGTACTACCTAATAAAGTAGGCAGTGATTGAGGAACCCTCCCATTCTAAAAATCCAACTCATTTCAAAATCACAGACACAAAAACCAAAAACAAACTTCTTAGAAACTCTTTAATGTTAAATAGAAAAACATTTATAAAAAAAAGAATGCACAACTGATCATTTCTGTAAAGTCATTATTTACAAATTTCATCTCATTTTTCACACAGGTCCATACGGAGCTGACTGCGATGACCCCTGCTGGTTACTCTGCTTCCCGTCATCATTCATCAATGGTGGGGAGCCAGAATGCCTGAAAGATTAAATATGAACAATTCTGGTTACATTTCATCAATATGAAGCCGTTTGCATGCCAGCAGTACAAAAGAATAAACAGGCTTTTATTTTTTTTTAATTTCTTTTAAATAAATGGATACTGGTAACTATCCCACAGTTCAACCCCAGCATAAAAATTAAGACCAAGCAGAGCTACATTCTCTGGGCTGTTGTCTTTTCAACTAAGCCCACATTGCTGCTTCCACTGACCATGTTAGAGCATGCGCTTGCAAACGTCATGAACTTCGGATTGAACTGCAGGCAGGTAATCGGGCCCGTGTGCTTCCCGTCTAACAAAGCCACCTTCATTCCACTCTCGGCGTTCCACACGTGGATCTTTCCGTCCTCGGAGCCTGAAACAGGTGTGCAGAAATGTGATAAATGTTCAGCCTGTCTCCTATGATCTCACACTGTTTTAACAATTGTCTTAATTTCATTTAAGGTGGATTTTAGTGCAAAATCAAATCTCATTTCTGTTCTGCTAGTCCTGAGTGAGATCAGTATAGAACCTACACTTTTGGTTATGGTGTTAGTGTTTATACGTGTGCCCCACAACCACCACCTTGAAGTCTGTTGATTGTAAATATCACAGGTAATTATTTCTTTCCTGATCAATTAATCTTTCATGATGATCCTCATTAGCAATTGATATCAGACACACACAAACTCATGATGCTGTATATTATATATTAATGTTTTAAGTCCAAGTGTGTTCTAACTCTATCCATTACTAATACTTAATTTCATTCAACATGTCTCTGGTCCCCCACATACAAAAGGTCACACCTTGGATGTTGTTTTCTCTCTTGGCCTTAATATCAGTAATTTATGTGTTAATGATATTCATTTGATTGTTTATTGCTGTGCATTTTTTAAACCTTAGTTTTCCTTTGGACCCAACACCAGTTAAATGTAGAATCGTAAAGCCAGTTATTACTCAGGATGTTGCTCAGAAGTTCTCTCATTTGTTTAATCCATCTTTGCTGAGGGATTGCCCTGATGTTGCTACATGTTTTAATAATCATTGCTCAGTTATTCTTAAAATAGCAGCACCAATAAAACCTGCCTTCATACCACTAACAAAACTCACTTCATGGATAAATGAATCAATTCGTAAATCCAAAAGAAACTGTCGTAAGGTAGAACGGCTGTGGAAATCCACTAACCTCGAGGTTCACAGGCTCCACCTAAGAAAACTTTGGCTGGAATATTTTCCTAATCTTATTTCTTCATATAAGAAAAATTCTAAGGTCCTGTTTGAAACAATAAACTCTTGTCTTTCCTGTGATCCCCACGATACCTGTGTCCTCTACAGTTGACAATAATTACTTTTTAAATTTTTTTATGATTAAACTCAATAATGTCAGAGCAAGCAGATCAATCACCAACCTGACTCAGCAACAGTGAATGCAAGAAGTAAAAATGTAAAACTTGTGATCTTAACTGTCACTGTTGTGTATTTGTGACTCGCTAAATAAGCTATCTGCAAACCACCGACTGGACACCATCCATGAAAGTGCTGTGGTGGTATTTTTAAGTGGAAATACACCACGCACTGTGCAGTGCTGCTTGTCATGCATGAATGGCTCTACCTTGCCAGGGCACAAAACCTGCTTTTCCTCACTTTTCCTAGAATCTCGAGAGTGAAATCACTCCCAGCTATGACATCTGACTTTCGAGGTAAATAGAATGCAGAGTCAGCTTTGGGTGTGTGCTGATATTGCGATAGTGTCATTATGACATCAAGGATTTTTTCCCCAGTTATAAAAGAGTGGATTACTACAGTAATAAAGGCACTATTAAATAAAATGTGTTATATATGTTTTTTGTACACAGGTGTCTCTCTATTAAAAATAAGTTGCCCCATCTATTTGTAATAATAATTCCAGCTGCATAAAAACAAAAACAAACAAGCTTTTATTATGGTGTTAAGTATTCAAGGCAATGAGTGGTAAACTGCATGTCGAAAACGTTATTCGATTGGTTTACGCAATTCAGTATTCTACTAATTCTACAAATACATATGCAATAAGGTTAAAAAAACGTTAATACTAAAAGTACTGACAATAAGAAAAGAAAAAAAAAATCAAGTTTGCACTGGTGCAACCTGTTAGTAAATCTGGTCTTCAAAATGCAGAATGTGCGCCATGTATCGTTAACAGACTTCAGGGGTACGTTTCTGTACATCTGTTAATTTGCTTATTTACATGCTACTTACATATAAATCAAACTAACAAATATATGCAATAAAAGATTTTATTCTAAACATTAAGGCAAGACAGAAGCGGTCATCTTAACTTACCTATCATAACAAACTGAGAATCAGGAGTGAATGAAGCCTCCAGTGTTACACCTTTACTGTTGTTGTAACCCTGAGTGTACATGAACAGTATATTCAGTTATACATGTTGAATCCATTTTACTGGATTGGTTTTTATTTTTCATATTTAAACACTTGAGCTTTATTTTATCCAGTAATTTTTTGTGTTGTAATAACTTGTCTCTTACCCCAAAGGAGTGAAGCACAGCACCCTTAAAAGCATCTAAGATGCGCAGAGCTCCACCATTAGTAGAGAGAAGAATGAGCTTTCCATCATTGCTAAACTTCAGTCCTGTCCACTCACATGTTCGATCATACTGAAGCTTAAAGGTTGCAAATGGACCCTGTGGACGATAGGTGACCACTCAGTACTTTTCCCCCCAATAAAAAACGAAACAAAAAAAAAAAAAAAAAAAGTCTCTAATGAATTAATGCCTCTTACCTTATCAAACGACCGCAAATCATAAAGTTTAACCATTTCTGAATTTATTCCAGCAGCAAAAATCAGACCCTCTGGGTCAAATGAGCAAACTGGCTTTCCCTGCAGGTGCATCAGACCCTGAAATTTCAAGGTGACATGATAAAGCCGGTGTCAGTTATACAGCTCTTCTCCAATATTAAACAATAGGTTGCATACAGGTATAACAACATTTGGAGCTCACCTAACTACAACCAAATATACTCACCTGACAGTTGGGTGATCGCAGATCCCACAGTCTGATTGTTTTATCTAATGAGCCAGAAATAAATGTGTCATCCACAGGAGACATGGAGAGAGATGTCACTCTGGTCACAAAACAAACAAAAAAGAAAAAAAAAATTACAACAGGGTAACCTTGAATGTAACACTGCAATTCAAACCAAAATAAAATCCAGTTCTCACCTTTTGTTATGCCCCGGAAAGTAGCGGATGTATTTGTTGTCATGAAGGGACAAGTACCGAATAGTGTCTTGGAGAAAAAGACAAACATAAT